CCCCCCCCTCCTAAAAAAATGACGAAAAAAAAAACAGAAAAAAAAGTTTTTGGAGTTTGCGAAGTACCTGTAGCGTCAAAAATGTACGGTAACAAATTTAGTAGGCCTAGAACCGACCTTGAGGATTTTACCCAGTCATAATTGTAGAGCAAATGGGAAAATGTTTGGTCATCGTTCATGCAAAAACTATAGGCTATGTGACGCTCCAGACGAACCGTGCCCTACATCTCGAATAGTCAAGGGGAAGATTATTTGGAGCACTCAGTTGTAGCAAATATGTTTTATTATGATGCTGTGCATGTTTTGCCAGACAAAACATGGCCATTGACACATGACCGTGAAATCATACAAAATTCGAGAGGGTCAAGAAGATCCTAAAGGCTTCTCGTTTCATAACTTGTCACCAAGGGCGCTTAGCTTGACAGCAAATTATACCGCAAAACTATTCCGGAATGCTCTCCCTTGAGTCTCGCTCAACAACGAGAATCGGCCATTTTGCCCTTACAGCTGGAGCAAAACATTAGGGAAAATACCTGTTCTGTTTTATTTGGTGGCCTACTTTGGCCAATATCAAGCATGAATGCCTCTCTCAAATCCCAAGAAACGTAGCCTCTCCAGTGAAAATAGCTCTGAAGTGAAAAAGTCTCGCTTTTCAGAAGAGCAAAGCAAGAAACCGCGCGAATCTGATGTCGAAGAAGCAGCAGAAAACTTGCTGAAACTGGCGATGGCAGAACCTCAACGAAAAGCAAACTTTTCGGCCCTTAACTCCTCAAACGGTATGAGCAAACAACACACACAGCCTGTTGGCACTGCCAACAAACCTGGGACTGCCAAGAAGTTGGTGATAAAAAACTTCAAAGGTACGTATCGCTAAATTCTAAATCAGAGGAACCAGTGCCCAGTGAGTGAGTGTTGTTTTCATAAAGAAAGACCATGTTGTTTTTTGTGTGGGTCCGCTCAGCCTTTCCTGCTAAAGTAGGCCCCGAAGCTCCTTCTTTGGGATTTGTTTTGTGAATAAAAAGAATTGGGAAGATTATGCTGAGGTATTCTAGCTGTTTTGTTTAATTTGTTAAGAAATCTATTGTTTTCTTCTTTTCGAATTTTCCTTGAACTAAGGCTCTAAGGCTAAGGCTAAGGCTAAGGCCCTGGTCTCAGGTGTTAGTAGAGAGTGTTGATGTCCGAGTCTGAATAAATTTTTCTCTTTTAAATGAATGCCTTTTAAAAAACTACGGTTCGATCATATTTTAGGGCTTTTGTTTGTCACCTAGATCTAGATCTAGATCTAATCTATCTATGACGCTGTATCCCTGGCTTTTTTGTCTACTTCATGCTTCATTCATACTTCATGTAATGCTGACTCATTGACATTGTTATGAAAACACACATTTTGCATGTTGTTCTCTCTGTAAAACTGCTTAGCTTTGATAATTTTTTAAATGATATTTAATCTTAACTGTTTTTCTGCGATCGAGTTGTTTAAAATAAGATAAATCTCTATTGTCCAGATCCTTGCACTCTGGTTTGGTGTTTCACCACAGCATACACACACACATGCATGCATGTATACTACACAGTACACGCGAATGTGTTCACCCATGCACACACACTCTCTCACACATCTTCTCCACACACCTCTGTGCGCACATACATAACCATGCCATAATAATGCTATGGTATGCTTGCTCTCACAGTCACATAGATCTAGAAATCTTGGTCTATGTGTGTCACGACGCAGTGGAATCAGGCGAGAAAATGGCCGCCAAAGTTTGGTGTCTCTAATAGCTAAATAGTCTTTAAAAATTGAAAAATGGCATATTTTGTGCTTTTCATCAATGTTTTTCAGTAAAATTCAAATGGAAATGTGTTTTATATAACATTAAGAGGTTTTAAAAGCTAGATTAACATTTCAAAACTGACGGAAAAATGCCAGTTTCTTTGATTTTTTTGTTATTTTGACAATTGCCTGATTTCACCATGCTGCTTCACATAATATTATGGATGAGAATGTTAATTATCATTAATAATTTTATTAAAAGCTTGTTTGTTGATAACATTAGTAGGCCTATATTATTGTGATTGTAATGATATTCTTTCAATCCATTTGTGATTCAGCATGGTGAACTCAGGCACTCGTCTAAATACAGAAATCGGAGAAACAGGCATTTTTCTCCCAGTTTGGACATTTTTATCAATTTTTAATTCTTTTGTGCCTCTTTTATGAATGTCAATATAAAAACACATTTCCGTCTTGTGAGTCTTAGTGAAAAACATTGAGTTTAAGACACAACCATGTCATTTTTCTGTTTTCAAGGACTCTTTAGCTATTGGAGTTACCAAACTTTCTTGTAATTTAATTTAACCACTGAAACCAGGCGACCTCACTTCCTTCGAGTTCCATTCAATATGGATATATTTATTTCATTGGAAGCAAGGCAAATAAATCAGCTTTCAGATGATACCAATAACTTCACATGCCTAAAAATTGACAAGCACCTGATTCCAATGCGTCGTAACACATTTTAGAATTTCTATACCTCAGCTCTTTTTTTCCCATCTCTAATGCTACTAGCCCTTATGTTAAGGTGGGCCTGTTATATGAAAATCCACCTTTGTCTCTTTCTCTAAAATCCTGCTTTAGTTGCGAGCGCCGCTAAACCTCCTCTAAAACTAAAGTAAGATCCTGCTTTCTGCATGATCTATTGGTGGTTTAAAGGTGCCTGTAGCACTTTCTTTCTTGATTTTTGTATGCCTGCTGCAACTTACGGGATCATTATAAAATCTGCTTGATCAACTTCTCTTTAGTTTAAAAGACTTAAATCCAGTGGAAGTTGTCTGAGACGGCCACCCATTGTCGAGGAGAAAAGTGGTTATCTTAGACAGGTGGACCTCTTACAGAGTGTCATTAAATGATATATAATGTAAAAAAATATGCAGGGGGGTAAGTGGGAAGTGGTTGTTGTTTGTACAGGTGATTGTTTTATAACAGCAGGTTGCCATCAGAGCAGGTTCGACTGTTTATATAAAAATAATCAAAGTGAAAACGTGAATCAGTCAGTGTTGTGTGGGTCGTTAGGGGGTGCTCGGGTGTGGTTTGCTTCTTCTTTCCTATCAAACATCTTTGGTCCTTATCTCCCCTTTTTTCTTTTTTATGTTTGTTACTCTCTTGTAACACCTCTAATCTTCTGACGCTCAAATGACCTTTTATGCAGTTGCGAGCGTCGTAAAACTTCTACTAAAACTAATCTCAGTCAGTGCTGTCAATGGTCCCCTGTGTTGTTGTTTCCCCAGAAAAGCCGTCGATGCCGGCGAACTTCCAGGAGGTGACGTGGGAGAAGCTGGAAGGTGCGGTGGACGCCATCCACAGCAGCTGCTCCATCCGGTACTCTCTGGAGGAGCTGTACCAGGCGGTGGAGAACATGTGCACCTACAAGATGGCCACCGGGCTCTACAAGCAGCTGATGACGCGCTGCGAGAAGCACGTCATGGCCAACCTCAGACAGTTCCTGGCATATCCTTTTGTTGAGTGCTAACATACAGCTTGTGTTTGTCAAGTGTGTGAGCTGTGGTTACTGTTGAAAGGTGGAGAAATATTAATAGTATTTTTTACTTACTACTGTGAATCTTTTATCTAGTGAGCTTACACTGTCAGCTATGTGGGTGGTTGGTGGGTACTCTGGTGTGGTTTGCTTCTTCTTTCCTATAAAACATCTATCGTCCTTATCTCCCCTCCTTCTTTTTGATGTTTGTTACTCTCTTGTAACACCTCTAATCTTCTGGAACTCAAATGACCTTATGCAGTTGCGAGCGCCGTAAAACCTTTACTAAAACAAAAAATAAACTCAGTTATATGTAGTGAAAAGATTAGACTTTATGCATTCATTTAACGTAAGGCAAACAAATCATTTACAAGATATTTTTGTAAATGAAAATAGATAAGGGGACAGAATCTGTTTTTTAGATACAACACTAACCAGAGAGGGTTGGTTTTTTTTTGGCAGGTGGATTAAGCTGTACTGTTGATTTTCATAAATATATTTGTAATGCACCTACTTGATGTATTTGACCTGTGCAGATGAAAACAGGTCTTCTGTTAAGTGAGGACTTTCTACAACCTTGGCGTAGTTATCTTTTCTGATTCTTTCTTAGCAAGATTATCTCATAATTGTGGGTTTTTGGCGGGTGCTCTTTTTTAGTTTGCTTCTTCTTTCCTATCAAACATCTATTCTATCATCCTTATCTCCCCTTGTTTTTTTGTTTGTTACTCTCTTATAACCCCTCTAATCTTCTGGCGCTCCTATGACCTAATGTAGTTGCGAGTGCCGTAAAACCTCTACTAAAACTATCTCATAATTATGGTGGGCTATGGGGCAGACAAACTTTGGTTCAAGTCTAGTGTGGGCTTTTGTTACATTTGTTGTTTGGGGTTTTCAAGGTTCCTCACCCACTTTTCCTCAATGTGCTGGAGATATGAGTTAAATTCTGGTGTCTCACCTTTTCTGTTCCCTGACAGTGTTTAAAGGAGCATTAAACACAGCATTACATTTGCTTTTGTTTAGCCTTAGGGTGCTGACAAATTGCTTATTGATAACTTTTATTTTGTTTTTAAAAAATTTAATGGCTGTTCTTTTTATTGCTGAAAACTGAATGAATCTGAAACAATGTGTATGAATGTTGTGGTATGCATTTTTAGTGTTTCTGCATTTATGGTGGAAGGACATTGAATGTAGATGAGTTGATTGTTGCTTCTACCTCTAAAGGTGTGATTTCCTTAACTTTGTTCACTGAAACTCTTGACTATGAGCAGTTTCTGAAACTGATTGACAACTGCTGGCAGAATCATTGTCGACAAATGGTGAGTTGTTTGGTGTGTTTGATGCTTCTAAGTCTGCCTTGATTTCATTGATGCTGGCTTAAATATATCCATCATCATCATCATCTTCATCATCATCATCATTGCCTTTTTCACCCTGCACCAGGGTATAGGCCACGGACAAACACTTTCCACATTTCTCTATCCTTGGCTAGCCTCTTGATGTTATTCCATGTCTTCCCACCTTTCTGTACATCAGTTTCTGTGATTTTTCTCCGGGTCCCGTGCCTTCTTCCCCTTGATCTTTTACCCAGTGGATTCAAATCCAAAATTTTCTTTGTAATGCAGCTGCCTGACTTCCAGAAAGTATGTCCAATCCATCGCCACTGCCATCTTCCTACCTCATCTCTGACTGGGATCTGTCTTGTTTTCCTGAACACTTCCTCGTTTGTGACCCTGTCTGTCCCTCTGATCCTCAATAACTTTCTTAGACACTTTTTTCAAGAAAACCTGGATCCTCTTTATTCAAGTCTGTGATGTGTTCCATGTCTCACATCCATACAACAAGACTGACTTCACATTTGAATTGAAAATCCTCAGCTTTGTTCGAAGTGAGATATATCTCTGGTCTTAAATATAGAAAAGTGTTTGAATTGTAGAGATGGACCTTGCTGAATACAGGTTAAGGAGAAAGGGAGAGAAAGATGTTGATTTTCAATGCTTGTCGGATGTTACATGTTTGCCAATTAGAAAAACTTTGTCCATCTAAGGATAGTTTTATTAAGCCTTTTTATTTATTTTGTTTTTCATGTAATTTTGTTTAGGGTCATGTTTGGGGTGCTTCACTGTTGAAATTTAATCTTAAGAGTTTTCTTCCAGATTTGAGCATATCCCTTGAAAATTTATTTCATCATTTTGTCATTTTATGATTTCTTGTTCTTTCTGATGAATATCTTGTTTTAATTAGTTGTCTAATTGCTGTATGACTCAGTGCTTGAAATATACCTGCCTAATGGTTTTCCTTCATTGCTTAAACTTCCGTTTTTGGTTTCTCTTTTCAGATAATGATCAGAAGCATATTCTTGTTCCTGGACAGAACCTATGTGTTACAGAATTCCTCCATTCTGTCTATATGGTAAGATTTATCTAAAGAAATCTGTACCTTTAGGTGTCGTTGTTTTACGGAGCGTTATTTTTTACTTTGTCTGCTTGAGGTGGTTCCTTTCTCTCATTTGTGGGTGGTTGGCGGGTAATCTGGTGTGGTTTGCTTCTTCTTTCCTATCAAACGTCTATCGTCTTTATCTCCCCTCCTTCTTTTTTGTGTTTGTTACTATCTTGTAACACCTCTAATCTTCGGCACTTATAAGACCTTATTGTGTTGCAAGTGCCGTAAAACTGTTACTAAAACTAAAACTTTCTCTCATTTGGAAAATCTGTTATATTGAGTAAAGGTAGACACCTCTCTCTAAGAAAAGTATGTACAAGTACAAGGAAGTAACTGTGTTGCCCTTGACTGGCCCAGGATTATGTTGTGGTAGGAGTAATGGTTGGAGCTTATTTATTATTTATTGAGTTCTGAGTAATTTTCTATATTGTTGGAGAGAAATTTGAAATGGTCATACTTAGAGGGGTAATGGTTAGGTTTACCTGTTGATGTAATATCATGTTATTTGCATGGAAGTAACCTGGAAGGGAGGGGGGGGGGGTGTTGGCTGTATATATCTCACAAACTTAGATATAACTGAAGTCACCAGCAGGTATTTGATTTATTATTTTTTCCTCATGCCTGTGAAAGTGGCTGGTCTCAAGTCTTGTAAATAAATAAAAAGTGGCTGGTTTTGTCACTTGTAAAAATGGAATAGCTAATTTCTTTGGTGGTAGGTGAAGTGGTTACTTAAATCTTGTGCTCGTGGAAGTAATTTTTAGCCGTAATAAGAGTTTTACAGCACTTGCAATAAAGTTGGGTCATATAAATAAGTGCTGTAAGTAAGCACATGGTATCCCACATGTACATAGAGGTGACCTCCTACTCATAGTGTGGGTGGTTGGCGGGGGCTCTGGTGTGGTTTGATCCTTCGTTCCTATCAAACATCTTTCGTCCTTGTCTCCCTTTTTCTTTTTTATGTTAGTTACTCTCCTGTAACACCTCTAATCTTCTGGTGCAGATATGACCTTATGCAGTTGCGAGCACCGTAAAACCTCTGCTAAAAAAAATAAAAAATACTCCTAGCTCCTTGTGTTGACCTAGTGCCTTGTGTTGACCTCTCTCAGGGACATGGGCCTCGACCTGTTCCGACAGCACATCGTCTCCGACAAGGTCGTGGAGACCCGGACGGTGGACGGCCTGCTCAAGCTAATCGAGCGGGAGCGCAACGGCGAAGCGGTCAACAGACAACTGCTCAAGAGTCTGCTGAGGATGCTCTCTGACCTGAATGTGAGTACAGTTTAACACTTTGCCATCACAAGGCTCATTAGTAAAAACCTTTGCCATCAAAGGCAAAGGCATATTGGGGAAAAGCCAACGAAACTGGGAGGCAAACATCGCGGATCGGCAAGATGTGACGGCAAAGTGTTAAAGACTGTATGTAGGGCCTAACCATTTTCTTTTTCTGGAAAGTAAAAAACCCACGTGGGCCACTTGCTGATAAAAATAATCTGTAGTAAGAGACGGATGCGGTTTTTGAGACACTTAGATAAACATAAAGGCCTTGAACATCTAGTGGTCACTGGGAAAAACTGATGGTAAAAGAGGCAGGGGTAGACCCAGAGCAACTTACTCGGAGAGTCTAAACTGATGAGTGATGGGGAAAGATCAGGATAATGTAGCCTTTTTTTTTAAAGTATCCGAGCAAACGAATGAACAAAGAACCTTGATCGCCAATGTCTGTGGCAGATCTGGCACTTGAGGGATTGACTTAAAGTAAGGGGAACACTGGTCTGTGGTGAAGCGGTCAGGCTCTGTACCTTGCATCTTTCCTAAAGAGCTGAGTTCGATCCCTGTGGAGGGATGTTCATTTTGAAAACTGGTATGTGCTAACTGTTCAGGTAAATCCAGATTTCTGAAACTGCACTTCCGCTACTGCACTTTTTATTAAAACAGTCATGATGTACCCATGCTTCAGACAATAGGATCCACAAATTTTGAGTTCTCACACACACACACACATTTCAATGAGGTGTGAAACATTCAGGATTTATTTTTTTTTCGTTACCATTTTCGCACCTCTGTGTAGTTTTCTCTGTCTGTATACTGGGATGCTGTTTTTTATTACAAATAGGTGGGCCATGACAGTTGGAGTCAGAGCAGTCCACTGTGTGATCCCAATTGTGTTTGACATGGGCATAGGAACATCACTTTTATCTGTCATTAAATGAGTAAGGAGGAGGGGGAAATTGAAAATAGAAGACCAAAAAATCACCTTTTGTAAAGTTATACGGGGCACTACAAGTGATAATTGATAAGCAGGGGACTGGAAAAACGTCTTTGATCTTCTGAGAATTTATAAACCCCAATTTTCTCCCCCTCCCCCTTCCCCTTCCCACCACCAGCTTCTTAAAATGATAAGCCATGAACACAGTAGCTTTTTTTTTGTCTTCCAGATCTATCAGAAAGCGTTTGAGAAGAAATTCCTGGATGCCACAGAGTTGTTGTACACAGCGGAGGGACAGAGGCTGGTTCAGGAGAGGGAGGTGAGTACAAGGCTGAGAAGAAAGCTTGCACGTCGAGTGTAATGTGATAAAAGAGTAAGGTGTGTTGAACGTCAAGGAATTGCTATATATCTGTGATGAGTACAAGACTAATATAATAAGAAGGCTTAAATGTCACGCCCATTGTGATAAAGAATTATGGTGTGGTAGGGTTTTTTTTATTGTTTGTCCCTGTGTACTGATTTTGGTGCCAATTTATTATTTGTTAGTTATGTAAAGATGTGCCAACATGGTACAATTTGTTAGGCTTCAAGAGAAAAGGGAATTGTTTGATCTTTGATGGTGATGCTGAAGTGTTGGAAATGATGTGCAGTTAATCTTGGTGTTAGTTCAGTTCTTCGTTTGAGAGAAAAATATGTTGAATGAATGGCAAGGAGTTGGTATACATCTCTCTTAGTGGCTCAAGTTTTTTTTTACCCCAATTAACTCTGTCATGTTTAAGAAGAGATGGTACTTTTGAGTTTGATCTACCCAAGTGAGAAGAAAGTCAGTCAAAAGAATAGTTTTAATTTCAGTTTCTGTCTGTATGATAATTTTGAAGTAGAAGCTAGCATACCAGAACCCATATCTATGCCTCTCTCAGTTTTGTTAACCCACGGAGAGATTGCAGTTCCCCTTGTTTCCTGTACTTTCCGATAATATTCAATTTGCACTAAGATTCTATTTTTTTTTTTTTTTCGTTTCTGTTCAGGTTTCTGAATATCTCCTTCACGTGGACAAGCGACTGGCGGAGGAGAACGAGCGCCTCTTACTCTATCTGGATCAGTCAACAAAGTAAGTGCTGGCTACACATTGCTTTTTTAAGTGCTGCCGGTTGTTGTAGATATTTTGAAAAATTACTGAGACGAAATAAGAATGAAATGTGTGTGTATGTGTGGGCTCTCTAAAATGAAATAATTTTTTTCTGATTAGCACTGGCAGCATAGCATTGTGAGAGAAAACACATTTTTGTGGAGCTGTGTGCGTGTGTGAGTGTACCTCTGTGTGTGAGAGAGAGTGTGTGTGTGAGTGAGTGTACCTGTGTGTGTGTGTAATTTGTTATGGTTTTAAATGATCCATGTATAAGAGTCTGGTTACATCTTCCAGATAAATTTTATTTTACTGTAGAGATATTTGTCTGTTCTGCCCTTCTTTCATAAAGTTCATTTCCTTATAAATCCTCAGAAAACCATTGATTTCCTGTGTTGAGAAACATTTGTTGGAGAATCACATGAAACAGATTCTACAGAAGGGTGAGTCTATTCTCTGTTTGGCTTCTGGGGCTGATGTGCAGGATTTAGACACATTTAGGATTTTTGAATACATCTTTAGGAATAGGATTTTTTAAAAATTGTGTTGGGTGTCCTTTGATTAGGGTTATTTGGGGAATTCTTTATGCCGCTCCTTTCCGTATCTGGTGCAGCTGTTACTGAAATGGGATGTGGAAAGCGGAGGCCGTGCCTTATGAGTCAACTTCTGTTGTTGATAGTGGTGCAGGGGGTTTTCAAGATGCTGGTTTTTGGTCTTACAGCTTTTGTTTTAGTGGAGGTTTTAAGGCACTCACAACTGCTTAAGGTCATATGAGCGTCAAGGGGTGGATGTCAACAGACAAGTCCTTACACTTACAGGGAATCGGACTTACTCTGCTCACCTCTCTAGCTTCAACAGCACAAAGTTACAGCTTTGGTACATCTGTTTTTAGTCCCCAGCTCTCTCTGAACACCTGACTTATCTGTCTGATCAATGTGCTGTTTTGTAGTCAAGTGAACTAAACCTTGAGAAATTGTTTTTTGTTCTTTCTATCCTTATTTAACAAATGAGTGTTTTATATGATGTGATGTGGGTCAATGGCCTTAACACTGTCATCATATTTTTGAGGAAAATCCAAAGAAACTGGGGATGGGTGGTTGGCGGGTGCTCTGGTATGGTTTGCTTCTTCTTTCCTTTCAAACATCTATCGTCCTTATCTCCCTTTCTTCTTTTTTACATTTGTTACTCTCTTGTAACACCTCTTATCTTCTGGCGCTCATATGACCTTATGCAGTTTCGAGCGCCATAAAACCTCTACTAAAACTTTCTTTTCTCTCCATCCGTATTGTTCGTATGGACAGGTTTGGATCAGCTGCTGGATGAGAACCGCGTGGCGGACCTGTCTCTGCTCTACAACTTGTTCAACCGCATCAAGGACGGCCTCAAGCTGCTCAGGCTGGAGTTTGCCGCCTACATCAAAGTAAGTCACAGAATGTATATCGTATCGAGGGCCGCCAAGTAAACTGGTATGTCATGTTTTTCAGATTTTACTGGAGAGACAAAAATTGGATTTTCTTGAAGTGTTTTTGGTAGTTAAACAGCAATGCCAATCGCCCGCTGCGCCTTGGGCCAGAAATCGGCCTCCGCGCGAGGGGTAATTTTTGGGCCGCTCGGAATCAGAAGTGACTCTCTTCTAAGTTTAGTTACGGGAAAACTCGTGGACGAAAATAAATGAAACTCAGCAACCAATCAGAGGAAAGGTTGAACTAACGACATGCCAGTGTACAATCCCGAACGATTTCTAGAACCGGAGATATTGCCGTGTTTGTGCAAATTTACTCTGCGGTTCGAAAACTAAGCGGAGCTGCGGGTTGATCGCCGACCACACAGGCGCCCCACATGTCTTCTTTATTGCTGTAAAATTTCAAATCTCTGCGTTTAGTACATTTTACGTACCAACTTAAAATTACCACCCATCTATTGATAAAACATTAGATCACGCATTCCAAACGCGAGGTGCCGGCATGCAAGAGGCGCGTGATCGCTAGGCGGCATGTGATTGGCTGCCTATAGCTAAATAGGTCACCGATGACTTCATCTCGGGTTTTCCCAATAGCGCTTTACTGAGTTTTAGAAGGAGTGATCGCGTTGCGGTAAAAACGATGTCACGCAATTCAACAAATTTCACGCAAATATCAGTCTTTAAGATCTAAAGTAATGAAGACATCGAAAAAGTGATAGCAGAACTAGATTCTGCACCAAAAATCACATGAGGATGCCAAGTTTCATTCATATGCTCCAATTCATTACTGACTTATGAACAGTTTTTCCTCAAAATACATCAAGACATGTCCCACATTTTGGCGATTTTTTCCTATATGAAGGTCCTCCAACATTTTGCAAACAAAAATCCCAATAACTTTTTTATTTATCAATGGATTTTTTAAATTTAAAAACCATAGTTCTTAGAATTTTCTCTATTTTCATTTAAGCCAATTATTAAGCAATTTGGATAAAAATTTAATTTTTCGTTGTCATTGCTAAGTTAAACTTCATTTTCATTAGGGAGCCTAATGTCTGTCATGGCATTTGTAGGCTCCCTTTTGAAAATGAAGTTTATTCACCCAAAACGCTTGAAGAGAGTCTGGGTTTTTTTTTATCTCCTGTAAAATTTGAAAAACACGACTTACCACAGTTTACTTGGTGACCCTCGGTATGCTGGGGAAGCAAAGATTTTTTTTTTTTCAATATTCCAAATGGGAGAATTCTCTGCTGCCTTCTAGTGTTTAGGAAACAGAACAGGTGTCTGGTGTGTGTGTGTGTAGGGGTGGGGGGGGGGGGGAGTCTGGTATCTGAGAGGCAGTTTAGATTACATTGTTACAAGATTTTGTTTGGATTGTAATTTTTTTTGGTTTTGACTCAATATGCGGAATTATGTTCATTTCGTCAAGGTGTATGTGTCCTTTCCCTTCTTCTTTTTTTTTTCTTCCGCTGTTCCTGTCTGTCTATTTTGCCTTTCTCCCCCCTGCTTTAAATGGCAGCAACCACGTGATTATAATATGCTTCTCTTTAGTCGAACTCCAAACTGAAAAACCGTGTCCCCATCTCGGCTTCACTTAGTTATGGTTAGTGTTTTATTAGATTTATTTGATAACATTTGGTTAGCAACTTTTATGTTCATTTTTATGACTTTTTTGTTGCAACATCCTATTTGAGAAACTCTGAGCTCGAATTCAAATTTGTTTTCCAATGTCTACTTTGCTCCTCTTTTCAATTGAACCTCTGCTAAAGAAAGTTAGAACCGTCTTCGTGTCCCCTTTTCTGTTTGTGCCTGATTGCATTGTTCAGTGAACTGAATGTCCCATGGCATCTCTGTTGTGGGTGGTTGGCGGGTGCTCCGGTGTGGTTTGCTTCTTCTTTCCTATCATACATCTATCGTCCTTATCTCCCCTTTTTCTTTTTTATGTTTGTTACTCTCTTGTAACACCTCTAATCTTCTGGCGCTCATATGACCTTATGCAGTTGCGAGTGCCGTAAAACCTCTACTAAAATTAAACTAAAGCATCTCTGTTGTAGAAAACTGGCCGGCTGATCGTGGTCAACCCAAGCAATGATGTGGAGAAGGACAAGGACATGGTTCAGCAATTGCTCGGTGAGGTTTTCATCCTTTTTACATTAGTGGGTGGTTGGCGGTTGCTCTGGTGTGGTTTTCTCCTTCTTTCCTATAACAAATCTATCTTCTGTATCTCCCCTCCTTCTTTTTTGTGTTTGTTACTCTCTTGTAACACCTCTAATCTCCGGCACTTATATGACGTTATTGTGTTGCAAGTGCCGTAAAACTCTTACTAAAACTTTTTACATTAGGAGGTGATGGTTTGAGTGTGAGAGTGTTGCTCTGATCTTGATCTTGGTGCTTTTGGTATGGGGCAATAAAGACAAAAATGCGTAGTCGGATACCTGGTCGCTTTTAAGCACAAGGGGGCCATCCCGATAAATGTTGTTTTGAGAAAATCGAAGCTAAAGTTTTTGGTTCCTTATTCAGTCTCTTTAAAAGACAAGGAGAGTTTTCTCTATAACCAAACAAATATAGATCTACACACCAATGAAACCAAATTTCTTCCTACAGGTAGGGCAATGCCTACCTTTGGTGTAGGTCAAGATTTATGGAACCCCGAAATCTGGGTTAGCCCGCTTGTCCTTAAAAGCGACCATTTTTAAAAACTATGTGCTACATTTCTATTCTTTTGATATGAATGTTATGTGGGTAAAGGGAGGGTGTCTACGAAAGTTTGATGTGAAGAGAGAGTGCAATACACTATCTATATAGTGCTGTTCGTGGTCGTAAAGAATGTTTTCGTTCTCTCTTTCAGATTTCAAAGACAAGATTGACAACGTGATATTTGAGTGCTTTATGAAGAACGAAAAATTTGTGAATTCCATGAAGGAAAGTTTTGAGTCGTTCATTAATCAGAGACAGAACAAGCCTGCAGAACTCATAGGTGAGTGAGTCCCGTAATAGATGAGTCGGTGAGTGAGTCCCGTAATAGATGGGTCAGTGAGTGAGTGCCGTAATAGATGAGTCGGTGAGTGAGTCCCGTAATTGATGAGTCGGTGAGTGAGTACAATAATCAGGGTTCCTGCGGCCTCCTTGAAAACTCCTTGAATTTGCATTCAAGTAAAAATCTCCTTGAAAACTCCTTGAATTTGAGGAACCTCCTTGAAAACTCCTTGAATTTTGCTGGATCGGACATGAACAAAGTTTTTGTCAGAAAATCGAAACTACGATTCCTTTCGGACAAGTATAGGCCAATCGGAAATATAGACTTTCGACATGAATTTCTTGACCTAGCCTCCTTGAATTAAAAAAATTTCTCCTTGAAATCTCCTTGGACCATGATTGATAGACGGGTATGTGCATAGGAATGGATAAAATAGTTTGTTGGCCACTTCTCCAATGATGAGCAGTGCATGTGCAGCAGACAGTATTTGTCAAAAGGTTAAGACAACTTGTGGCTTCTCCTTTGAACAATGAAACCTGTTTTGGCAGGAATGGATAGGTGTTCATGTTAATGGGCTGGTGTGTTGGATGGATGTGTGCAGTAACTCTTTAAACCCCATTGGACGCTAGTAGCGTGTTTGTTTTTTCTTATTTGTCGGAGCTAATCCCTTCTTTTCTGCTGATGATTCATTGGAGGTTAATACAGTGTTCTTCCTAGCTGTATAACTATTTTCCTGATGAAATGCCGCTTTTACTTGACCATGTAGTAATGATCCTAATAACTGCATTGATATAGAGCACAACCATGTTCAACAGTATGTTCTATGGGTTTTACAACTATTTTTACCCCAGCAAACCTTAGACCACTCGCGAACATTCTCTGTTGCTAGCACCATGAAACAAATACCTTTCCAACTCTGAGGAAACGTGCCTGCTGTCACTCTGAACTCGTGGGTGGTTGGCGGGTGCTCTGGTGTGGTTTGCTCCTTCTTTACTATCAAACATCTATCGTCCTTATCTCTCCTCCTCCTTTTTTGTGTTTGTTACTCTCTTGTAACACCTCTAATCTTCGGCACTTATATGACCTTATTGCGTTGCAAGTGCCGTAAAACTCTTACTAAAACTAAAACTGAACTCTGTACCGACTGAGCACAATGTTTTCTTCTTTACAATGTTTTTTTGGTTTGTTTGTTTTTTCCAGCAAAGTATGTGGACTCCAAATTGAGAGCAGGCAACAAGGTAGGCTTTTTCTTTCTTTATCTATTTGTTTTGAGATTTTTTTTAAAATATAATAAAGTTGATCTTGTTTTGTTTGTGACATGTTCATGTAGTTTTGGGCATCAACCTTCTAGTGCCCATTGGTTCATTTGTCAGAAAATCATTGTTATTTTATTTGGGTTTTGGTTGTTTGTTTTTTAGGTTTTTTAAATTTTGTTTGTTTGTTTTTTGGTTTGGGGGGGGTATTCAAAATACATGTATTACCAAAGTAACAAGTTAACCTCAGACAGCTTGATTCATATATTGCTTTCAGAACATCAGTGCAGAATCTTCAAATTTATGCCAGTACTTGTGGGAACTAGAGGGTTAAGTTGTGTGTAATAGTGGAGGTTTATATAAGCCTATACTAAGCATCCTGATGTTTTATCATTTCTGTTATTTGTTCTCAAAGTTTCTTGAGAACAACTCATCGCTTGATTTTGCTCCGCTTGAAGTGAAAGTGTTAGCTGCTTCGCTGTCACAAGCAGATGACCCGAGTTCAATACTATACTCAAATATGGAAACCATTTTTATTGAGTATCTCTACTCTATATTATTAACCCTTCCAGCCCCATGCGCGTATAATTTCAGCAGCGCTTGTACCTCCAACCATCCCAAGAGCTTACATTCTGAGTTTCAGGGGGTACCGAATTTGCACATTTTTCGAAATTAGCTAACCTAATTAAACATTAATTTTCATAATATTTGTTCATTTACCTTTGAACATTGTTATATTATGTTATTATCTAAACCTCATAAACAAAGATACTTCATCACTTTTTGGAATGCATGCCTCTTTCTCTGAAATTCCGCTGTATTGGCTGCGACTGTGGTTAGGGAGTGCACAAAAATGGCTGGGGCTGGAAGGGTTAACTGCTGGGATGTATCCCTCTCGGCGCGGGATGGCCCTGGCAGGAGAGTCAGAAGCCGACCATCTGAATAATCTAAATTGTGTGGATGAGGGCTTGAAACATTTAGATTAAAACGTGAAATTATGACTTATGTTTTCTTTTTTTTATTTCCATTTTCTCTGTCATCAGGAAGCCACAGAAGAAGAGCTGGAAAAACTTCTAGACAAGATCTTGGTGATATTCAGGTTTATACACGGTAAGGGGTTTATGTTGTTGTTTTTTTTAAATTGTTTGTTATGAATCAAGGGGCTGTTGTCCTTTTTCTTTTGCTCAGATGATGGAAAGAATGGCCCCAATTTATATTTGGGGAAAGTAATATGTCAATCTTTTCCCTTTATGAGAGTCGATTTTCTTCTCCCCCAGCTTGGCTTCATGTTTGCATAGTCAGTGTAGTGGCTTTTTCTGTTTGTTTTTTTCCAAAGTGAATTTGACTTGCATGTTTTATATTAGTTTGTGTAGTTTTATCATTTGCTTGTTGTGTCTTCCTATTTTTGAGGGATCATTTATTAATTTTTTGGTTTATCTCAATTGTCCATTTCTGTAATTGAACATCCTGGTGTCAAAAAAGGAAATGAAAGCTTCTCTTTTTTCATATTTGTGGTATATTTACATGATAGTTAGCAATGTGGAAGATTTTTCCTTTGCCTAGATCCCAAAACGGTGGATAATAACGGCTATAAATGGTCAGAAATGGGCTTGCCTCTGTTTGACTAAAAATCATTTGTGTGGCCATTTTTCAAGGAAAAAGAAAGTAAACCTCTACCTTCTGGGAAATCCATTTCAGGCAAAGACGTGTTCGAGGCGTTCTACAAGAAAGATTTAGCGAAACGCCTCCTGGTGGGGAAAAGTGCATCCGTGGATGCGGAGAAATCCATGCTGTCCAAGCTGAAGCAAGGTGAGTGTGGAGAAGCTGCCCAGACTGTTGAAGAGTTTTTGAGGCGAGAGAAATTCTTGATGGGCAATAGCCCATCATAATGTGCCTTGTAATTTTCAAGGGATCGACTTCAAAGTTTTTAGTAAAGAGAAATTCTGGTAGACTCAATCACCCATCATAAAGTGCCTTGTAATTTTGCTATTTTTTTGTTTGTTTTTTATCCCTTGCCCATTTATATGAGATTGACGCCTTCTGATTAGTAGAAAAAAGTAGGGAACCCCACCAGTGTCTCCAGCCTCTATCCCTCCACTGGGATAATCTGGGCCCCTTGTGGCAGGACTGTGAGGTGGCAATCCTTCTACATATCAGAAGTTGATCGTAGGTGGTTGGTGGGTGCTCTGGTGTGGTTTTCTTCTTCTTTCCTATCAAACATCTATCGACCTTATCTCCCCTCCTTCTTTTTATGTTTGTTACTCTCTTGTAACACCTCTAAGCTTCTGGTGCTCATATGACCTTATGCAGCTGCGAGTGCCGTAAAACCTCTACTAAAACTAAAACCAAAAGCAAGTGTCATAAAGCTGTTACTTAACGAACTCAGCACATTTGGCCTCAGATCCAGACAGTACAGCAGAACCTATTGAGAAGTAAATTATTCCGGTAGATTTGTGAATGAGATGAGCTCCCGTCTTGATATTGTCTCATTTTTGTGTGTGCAGAGTGCGGCGCGGCCTTCACGAGCAAACTGGAGGGAATGTTCAAGGACATGGAGCTCTCGAAGGACATCAGTCTGGCATTCAAACAGGTACGTCTGAGTGAACATGTGTTTCGCTGTGAAGGAAGACCAGAACGGGTCCTTGAACTCTTGTGCATTTCCAGTTGGGGCTGGGCATTATTCGTTTTTAAAAACAATCGAATGAATAGGTGTCTAGTATTTTGAAAATCTGACTAGACAAACAAAAATTAGGTACCTAGTATTGAAAGAGGGAAGGGTGCAAACTGGCTGGTACCTCTTTCAAGAGGAGAAAGTAATTTCTTTACAGCAACGCCTTCCCCCATACATTACACACATCAATATGCAATTATTGGTCAGTTCTATTTTTTAATATTTTGGTTTTTCTAATAGGCCTAGACCTATGTATTAAATGTTTTGGCACATGCTCTTATCTTATGTGTTTTTAATGAAATATTGCGCGCCGCGCATCGAAGTTTATACTGAAAAATTTTCAGGCTTTTTTGTCAGAGCCTGCTGGTAACCCTGATTTGCCAGAGGTCATTAAAAAATAATAATCATTCAATATATTATCGTAAAGATTTCTTTTGCTTTGTGCTGTATGTTTTTTTTTGGGGGGGGGGGCTCCTAAGTTTCATTGTTGAGTTGTGAGTAATAATGTCAGAATGATTTTGTTAAAATTGACGGCAAAACGTCTGGCATTCGTCATTTGGCAGTGAGTGAGATAAGTTGGGTTAAGAACTTGAAGAGTTGGGTGTGTTTGTTCTGATGCGTCATTTGTGTGTTTGTTGGTTGGTTTGTTTCATCGGAGTGAGATAAGTTTTTTGGGTAGGTGGTTGGCGGGTGCTCTGGTGTGGTTTGCTCCTTCTTTCCTATAAAAAATCTATCTTCTTTATCTCCCCTCCTTCTATTTTATGTTTGTTACTCTCTTGTAACACCTCTCTAATCTTCGGCACTTATATGACCTTATTGTGTTGCAAGTGCCGTAAAACACCTATTCAGTCAATTAATCAATCAAAAACTCTTACTAAAATTAAAAACTAAGTTGTGTCTAGAACTTGAAGTGTTTAGTCTGTTGTACTGATGCCTCACTTCTGTTTGTTGGTTTGTTTGTTTTCTCCCAGTGAGATAAGTTGTGTCTACAGGCCTATCCTTCGTAAGCTTTTGCGCTATTTTTTATTATAGTTTTTCTGTGCCTACATCTGAATGAAAATAGTCAGTGTGTGTGTGTGTGTGTGCATAAATTTATATTGTATGAGAAGAAAGGAAGAAGTAAGAAACGTTTTGAAAATGGGTATTCCAATGTAAAGCGCATTGAGCTACTTTTTTTGGAAATGCGCTATATAAATGTTATGTATTATTATTATTATTATTGTTAAGTGTTTAGTCTGTTGTACTGATGCGTCATTAGTGTGTTTGTTTGTTTGTTTTCTCGCAGAGCCTCCAGTCGGCCAACGACTCGATCGACCTGACGGTGAACATCCTGACCCAGGGCTACTGGCCGGCCTATCCCGTGGTGGAGGTGCATCTACCCTCAGAGGTACGGCCTCTTGGCTCTTTGCCGAGCACCAGTTGTTGTGTCGCTGTTCTTATTGCTCTGGTGTTGGTGGTCGGCGGGTGTTCTTGTGTGGTTTGCTTCTTAATTTCTATCAAACATCTTTCGTTCTTTTCTCCTCTCCTTCTTTTTTATGTGGATGGTTGGCGGGTGCTCTGGTGTGGTTTGCTCCTTCTTTCCTATCAAACATCTATCGTCGTTATCTCCCCTCCTTCTTTTTTATGTTTGTTACTCTCTTGTAACACCTCTAATCTTCTGGTGCTCATGTGACCTTATGCAGTTGCGAGGGCTGTAAAACCTCTACTAAAACTAAAACATTGGTGGGCTTTTTTGTCATTTCTCTTATTGATTTGGTTATGAATGACTTTTTTTTTTGTCGTTCTTATTGGTGTAGTTATGAATGGCTTTTTTGTCGTTCCTATAAAAAATCTATCATCTCTATCTCCCCCACTCCTTTTTTGTTTGTTACTCTCTTATAACACCTCTAGTCTTCGGCACTTATATGACCTTATTGTGTTTCAAGTGCTGTAAAACTCTTACTAAAACTAAAGATTATTACGATGGTGAAAATAAATGGATTTTTTTGTTTTTGCCAGATGTTGCGGTACCAGGATGTGTTCAAGAAGTTTTACCTCGGCAAACACAGTGGTCGCAAACTCCAGTGGCAGCCTACCCTCGGCTTTTGTGTTCTCAAAGCAGAGTTTGACAATTTCAAGGTATGCTGTGATGAGAGCGTCTCTTACTGGCTTTTGTGATCATGTAGCAGTTAGGTGCTTTTTTGTCATGGGTGGTCGGCAGGTACTCTGGTGTGGTTTGCTCCTTCTTTCCTATCAAACATCTATCGTTCTTATCTCCCCTTCTTCTTTTTTATGTTTGTTACTCTCTTGTAACACCTTTAATCTTCTGACGCTCATATGACCTTATGCATTTGCGAGCGCCGTAAAACCTCTACTAAAACAAACAAGCTTTTCTATCACATGCAGGAGACCTGAGTTTAGTTCCCAAGAGGGAAGAAACTTTATCTATCTAGTATCTTGCTCTTTCTGCTGGGAGCTTGTATCTCTCTCTGCTCTGGTTGGAAACCCCGTTCCTAAATGATCTGAATTATGTCGATTGAGGTATAAAAACACTTACATGGGTGGTTGGCGGGTGCTCTGGTGTGGTTTGCTCCTTCTTTCCTACCAAACATCTATCGTCTTTATCTCCCCTCCTTCTTTTTTATGTTTGTTACTCTCTTGTAACACCTCTAATCTTCCGGCGCTCATAAGACCTTATTGTGTTGCAAGTGCCGTAAAACTCTTGCTAAAAAAAAAAAACCCCACATACATTAGATTTTTTTTTAAAGCATATCTTATAGGTCCTTCTACCATACCGTGCTCTGATTTTTAAATATTTTTTTCCCCCTTGCTTTGTAGCATTGCTTGCTTACAGACCACTTTGTGTACTTGTAATGCTTTTGGTGTTTTTGGTCTTCTTCACAGGTGAAAAAGGAGATTCAGGTCTCACTGTTGCAGACGCTGTGTCTTCTCTTATTCAACGAAGGGGACGAGTTTTCTTTCCCAGACATCATGACGGCCACAGGGATTGGTAAGAAATTATGTATGGCGATCGTTGGTGTTGTTGTTGTCGTCTCGTGGGTTCAAGTTGTTCTGTGGGTGGTTGGCGGGTGCTCTGGTGTGGTTTGCTTCTTCTTTCCTATCAAACATCAATCATCCTTATCTCCCCTTCTTCCTTTTTATGTTCGTTGCTCTCTTGTAACACCTCTAATCTTCTGGCGCTCATTTGACCTTATGCAGTTGTAAGCGCCGTAAAATATCTACTATAAAAAAATATATATATTTTTAAAAATTCCGCTTGTACCGCTCGCCTCCTTCATAAAACCTCTACTACAACTACACTAAAGATACATGCCTGACTGATGTCCCCCTTGTTTCCCTCCCCCACAGAGTCGAACGAGCTGAAGAGAACCCTGCAGTCCCTGGCCTGTGGCAAAGCCAGGGTCATCTACAAAACTCCCAAGGTAAGGAGACAACAGTAGATGTCTGCACAATAAATTGTCTGGGCTGGCTGGTCTTTCACTTTCCTTTCTTCTGAAGTTCTAAAATCTCTTTCTTAATATAATTTTACTACAGTTGAAATTGTCCAAGGCGGCCACCCGTTATCATGGAAAAAGAAGGTTGTCTTTTACAGGTAGAAGTCATGGACAGACATTATATGTTTTTACAAAATGCAAAGTAAGAAGTGGTCATTTGTGTAGGTGATTGTCTTAGATGGGTGCCTGTTCGGCGAGGTTTGACTGTATTTTAAAACAGTTGAAGAATGGATGTGGATCAGTGTAAAAACATTTGGTTTTGAGAATTTGAGTTAAAGAAGTCTCGTCATTGACCTGTCAAGAATGAGCCATCTGGCTACCCTAGAATTTCAAAGTTCTTTCTGCTCAGTGACTAGATTTGAGAAATTTGACAACAGAGTTTCACAACATGGTTAAGCATTTTTTTTAATGCAATTTTTTTTAATATCTTAATAACAACTCTAAATAATCTTACGATTTTGATAGAGCAGATAGAACATTTGGTTTTGGACATCATGGTCTTAAGAACTCTAAACAGTCTAAAACGTCGGATAGAACTGTGTAGTTCTAAGGTAACGATCTGTCACAGATATTGCATGTTTACTGTCTTTTCATCCAATTTCTGTCCCCTTTACAAAACTTACCTGTGACGTCGGTGGTCTGGTGGTTAGGCTTCCGGACTCGTCATCGTGAGGTTGTCGGTGGTCTAGTGGTTAGGCTTCCGGACTCGTCATTGTGAGGTTGTCGGTGGCCTAGTGGTTAGGCTTCCGGACTTGTCATCGTGAGGTTGTCGGTGGCCTAGTGGTTAGGCTTCCGGACTCGTCATCGTGAGGTTGTCGGTGGCCTAGTGGTTAGGCTTCCGGACTCATCATCGTGAGATTGTTGGTGGCCTAGTGGTTAGGCTTCCGGACTCGTCATCGTGAGATTGTTGGTGGCCTAGTGGTTAGGCTTCCGGACTTGTCATCGTGAGGTTGCGGGTTCGGGGTTCAAGCCACGGGCCCGAAGTTGTGTCCTTGGGAAAGGCACTTTACAGGAATTTTCCCCACTTCACCCAGGTGGGAATGGGTACCCGGCCATAGATAGTGAAAGATCTTGTCAGTTTGTTAGTGTTTGAGCGCTTAACCAGCTGCTTGCATTGTATGCTTCCCGGGAAGCTGAGAATGTTTCTGAGTGTTCTATGGTCTGCTGGGGTAAAAATATAGTGTTAAGCGCATAGAGCTTGCTTTCGAGTGGGGACATGCGCTATACAAATGTTATTTATTATTACCTTTTTCCTTTTTGAACCTTGATAGTGAGGACTGCTTCGTTGACAGTTTTGTAATGCCTATCTTGCATGTTCTTTCGTTGTCCATGTAGGGCAAAGACGTGAACGACACAGATATCTTCCACTTTGCCAACGACTTCAAACACAAGCTGTACAGGATCAAAATCAATCAGATTCAGATGAAAGAAACGGTGAGTCAGTGGGCGGTTGGCGGGTGCTCTGGTGTGGTTGGTTCCTTCATTTCTATCAAATATCTATCGTCCTTATCTCTCCTCCTTTATTTTGTGTGTTTATTACTCTCTTGTAACGCCTCTAATCTTCGGCACTTATATGACCTTATTGTGTTGCAAGTGCCGTAAAACACTTACTAAAACTAAAAAAACAGTGAGTTGCTTGCTTGCTTGCCTCTTGTCTCACCCACTACGAGGGAGCGCTCTCTCTCCTTCCCTTCACTCATCCTCGAAAACTTTTATTCAGCGCTCGTTACGTTTGTAAAATCAAGACAAGCTTTACTGATAAGAGGGAAAATGTTGGGAGTTTTTCTAGTCTTTTGGTTAGTTCTTTGTAGGATGATGTTGAATCTTAGTTCATGATAGAAAGGGTATATATAGGGAAATGCTGCTTTTATTCACAATTGTGGGTGATAGTACTTCATCTAATAAATGAACTTCGGGTAATAGAAACCTGTTTTCGGCAGTTGCCGAAAAGTAATTTGATGTTGAAGTCATGGTAAAGGAATGTGCCCGAGCCGCTGTCAGCGACTCACTGGCACAGCAGTGTCTACTGCGAGCAGCTTGCTGGAGATAAAGAGTTAAGACGGTACCAATAACTCCATACGCCAACAAATTGAAGAGCGCCTGATTCCACCACGTCGTGACACTTTTAGCATTTAAAAAAAAAAAAAAAAAAATTATTTTAAAAATTATAGCTGTTCTTTGACTACGTCTGAATGAAAATAGTCCGTGTGTGTGTATAGATATATATTGCATGAGAAGAAAGGAAGTAGTAAGAAAGGTTTTGAAAATGGGTATTCCAATGTAAAACGCATTTAGCTACTCTTTTGGAAATGCGCTATATAAATGTTATACATTATTATTATATATATATATGAGAATTCCCACTCCCCTGACTGTGGTTTGTGTTTGCAGCAAGAGGAGAACACCAGCACGACGGAGCGCGTGTTCCAGGACCGCCAGTACCAGGTGGACGCCGCCGTGGTGCGCATCATGAAAACCCGCAAGACCCTCAGCCACAACCTGCTCATCTCAGAGCTCTTCAACCAGCTCAAGTTTCCTGTCAAGGTCAGTCCTTTTCTTCCTTCCTCGTCTTTCTGGTCCGTGGGGGGGGGGGGGGGGGGGGGGTGATGGTTGATGTGTTTGTTTGTTCTCTCAGCGTTTTTTTGGGTTTTTTTCGTCTATTGCTCTCTCTCTCTCTCTCTCTCTCTCTCTCTCTCTCTCTCTCTCTCTCTCTCTCTCTCTCTCTCTCTCTCTCTCTCTCTCTCTCTCTCTCTCTCTCTTCCTCCCCCCCCCCCCCCCGCGGGGCAGTGCTACTGACTGAAGTGTCTTTTGGCCATTCCCAAAGGGGGGATATTAACATGTTCTTGTGCACAGTAGAATTGTAAATGAGCTGATTCATCAATGTCATGCTCATAACTGTGCCTGAACTGGGAACTGCTGCTTTTTCTTTCCTAATCCTTACTATTGTCATTTTTCCTCTACTTTTTTTGTATGTTTGTCACTCTCTTGAGACCCGCTATTTCCGGGGTGCCTTAATAGTCGAAGCAGACTTCGTGTCGTTGAAGCTAGAGAGGTGAGCAGAGTAAGCCTGATTCCCTGAAAGGACTTCTTGTTTCAGTGTTGCCTTACGAATTAAATCGATATTCTCACTGCTGTCACTATAATGACAAAAAAAGTAAGAAAAAGAAAACAAGCGTCCTCCGATTTCTAGATTGTCGGGCCCGTCATCGTGACCGGTCAGTGAACCTGTGCAATTTCGCATCATGTGAGTACGGCATGAGTAAGGGACCGGCCGGAGGTTGTTGGGGTAATCAAAGTTCAGTCAATGTAGGAGCGTTGCAGGGTGGATGCCTATGCATCATAATGGCTTGTTGCTGATTAAAAACTGGTACTGTGATTTAGCATTTTGAAAAAAATCTATACTTAGTCCATGATGTCCATGATGCAGTGATTCACTGATTGCCAGGTTTTCAGCATCACTACATCCCACACTCTCACAGTCCTTCCTGCTCCGGCTCTCAGCACACGCTCTTTTCTATTGACACTTTTTACTCTGCCGTGAGCCTAACTAGAAAGGTGTTATAAATAAGTTTTGTCTTGCATGTTTTTTCAAATCCGTGATTGCTGAAACCAAACTTGGTTTTGGCAGTTGATGTTCTTCTTGCCTCTCCTCAAGCCCAGATCAGGATTCATTTTGTATGTTTAGGGTAAAACTAGTTAAAATGATTTGTCATACCTAAGTCACAAAGGACTTATCAGTGTCCTATGCTAGTGTCGGGAAATATGTTATAATATAGTTTCTATTGGTATAGGCTCTATCTATCTATCTATCTATCTATCTCTTTATCTATGACAAGTTTTATTTCCTCCTGCCAACTCTCCACCATGGTGTCCTTCTCTCTCTCGCTGATGGCTGGACGGTGCAACTGGTAAACCCTACTTGGTTTCTTTCCCTGTTCTTTTGTGTTGATTTATCTTTATTTTACTGACAGAAACCGTCCTTTTGCTCTCAGACCAGCATCTGTGGTGTAGAGATTAATTGCTTTGCTGTCGTACACAAAAGACATGAGTTCAGTTCCCTTGCAGGGAGATTTTTTAAAATTTACCCAATCCGTACATCGTGTTTTACTATCGTATCCATATGACGTGGGGAACTCTGTGCCACCACGTTCAAAGAGGAAGTTTTCTCGTTAATCCGATCCGTACACTTTGCATAGCAGTCTGTCAAAATGATTTTTAAGAAATACTTAAAGTTTCAAAGAGATCTTCGGACTAGAAGTATATGTGAAGAATACAACCCCGGGGGTACAAAATTACCCCAGGGCATACGGATAAGGTTGTGTATTTTGTCTTTAGAGATGTTGTATCCCTGTCAACCCAGGGTGGCCCAAACAGTCAAAGTAGAAGTAGCTGGCCTCCTGTGTGATGGAAATTGTGCTGCTGGTGGTTGGAAGGCGCTACTGTAGTGGCAGCAACTACAACATTGTTTTCCCTCTCATGTTTCTCTCTGTCTGTCTGTCTGTCTGTCTGTCTGTCTGTCTGTCTGTCTGTCTGTCTGTCTGTCTTACTTTGTTCCAAGCACTAAACGACCATGATAGTGTTCATGTGCTTCTCTTTACTTGAACTTTAAAAATGCGTCGGTATTGGCTTAAACACCAACATTCAAACAAATTTTTTCTCTTTGTCTGGGCAGTCGGCAGACCTCAAGAAAAGGATCGAGTCCCTGATCGAACGAGAGTACATGGAGCGAGACAAAGACAACCCCAACACGTACCACTACGTGGCCTAGAGGCAGCGCGCTGGGATTCGCACGGACACGCAGACACGGCAGGCACCTCTCTCTCTCGACATTTCGTTTTGGCGGACGAGAGCTGCATCTCGAAATTCTGATTTGTGAGGGAAGGACTGCATCTCTTTGTTCTAGTTTGTTGGGGCTGTGTTTCAATCTATCTAGTGTAATGAGGCTGCGGTTTGATGTCCAGTTTGTCAGGGCTGGGCTGCAACATCTGTACTCTCTGTTGGAACGGAAGTTCAGTACCTTTCTAGATTATCGAGGAATTCGTCTCCATATCGTCCGCAAGCCTTTGAAATGTCCTAAGCTCTGAAAGCAAAATTTTTCTCTAGACAGAAAAGGTATGTCTTACAACTGTTGTTGTGCCGGTACCGCACCTTGGTACCTACTAGATCTATATTTATGTCTGTGCTGGCTTTTTTTTTTTTCACTTTAAGAATTACCGTTCTGGCAAATTATTTCTTGAGAACATGCAACTCGTAGCAGGAATTGATTAAGTGCAGTGAAAACGATGTTCCAAATTTTGGGCCTAGTACATTTGAACAGCTGTCGCGATGACGTCTGGTTTATTGGCGCCGCCGCGTTCAGACGCAGAGTTAGTTTGTGCTGCAGCTCTACGCCTAGTTGGATGAGGGCTGCATCTCCTGGCCGAATTTGTTTGGGGGGGGGGGCTGCGTTTCGGTATCTAGTTTGTTCCAAGTTTCTTTCTTTGTTTGGTTTGTTTTTTCGTTGGTGTAAAAATTGTACTCTTGCTATATATGGGGAGGTGGGGTGAAGGAGGCTGAAAGTTGATGAAGTGGGCGAGATCTTTGTGTAGACTGAGCATTGTGAGAGTTTCATCAGGTTTGTTTTTGGGTCTGTTTTGTTTGTATCTGTGTTTGTGTGCATATTTGTTTTTATAAGCCTGAAAGAAATGTAAAGCCTGTTAAAATGAATTGCCTTTCCATCCAAACTCTACAAGCTGCATAGTGTATTTGTCAGATGATGACACCTGGCTTGTTTTTTTTTGGGGGGGGGGGGTTGTCTGAGTTATTTCATTATTTTCATTTTTGGGTGATAGAGGCCAGTGGTTTAGGAGTCTTGGGGTTACTTTCTAATCATATATATGGTTGCTTTAAAGCACAAGGGGACTGTCCTGAAAAATGCCGTTTTGATAAAATTGAAGGAAAAGTATTTACCCCTTGTTCAGTTTCTTTAAAAGACAAGGAGAGTTTTCTCTGTAACCAAACAAATATACACTCCAAAGAAACCAAACTTCTCCTAAAGGTAGGGCAATGCCCACTTTTGGTGTAGATCAAGATTTCTGGAAACCCCCGAAATCTGGGTTAGCACGCTTGTCCCTAAAGGCGGCCATATGAGAGATCAGTGCTGGGATTCTGTATTGAAGAAATGGGAGGGGGGGGGGGTATGACAAGTGACAGAGCTGTTCAGCTGTGTGGGCCTCTCAGCCTTAGGGACGTGCTACTACTCACAACAAGCTCAGTGTCACGTGGGAAAATCTTGTGAAGAGTACACTGTAGACCGTTCTTTCTAAATCCTCTTCTACTATCGAGAGGCTGTCGGCATCATAATACATAGACTCTATATATATTTATTACCAGCTCTAAAATATTTATTTTTTTGGTTGGTTTTTTGTTGGGTTTTTTTGTAATGCAGTTACTCTACTCTTTAGCTGCTGATAGCTATCACTGAGATTGAACTGTCACTGTCTAGAACTAGAAGACTTTGCGTGTCTTGATTTGGCCCTAGCTCTTCTAATGTGAAATTATGCGATTCTGTTTTGTTTTTTTAAACAAATAATGATAAAGGAAAATAATCAGAAATTATGAAAAATAAAATGATCAAATTTTGCTAAATCATGCGGGGTGCATAAAACCACGGTGACCGATATAAAGTTAGGGCAGAGGTCAGTTGACGAAGTTTTGCTGTTATATTTTTATCCATGTCGTAAGAGAAGGGGTAACTTTTTCTATTGCTTTTTGTCGATGATTGTTTGAACAATAAGTATAATATTTATAAGCAGAAGGGGATGCTGTTTCTCGCGGTGTGTTGCTTGTGGTAACACTCGGTGAGTAGACAGTGTTTGCTGCCTTGTTGAGGTATACATTTTGATGACTGTTAGAGGAGAGTTTGTTTTACATTTGAACTCAGAGAGACTTTGATTATTATATATTTCGTCTTTACTTGAAATAGAAAATGAACAGGAGTTTTTTTTGTGGGGGTTTTTGTTGTTGTTGTTGTTGTTGTTATTCTTTTTTCCCCAATAGAAAGGATGGTGGTTGTATGAAATTTTTGTATGATGAGACATTACTTTCTTTTCCTTTGACGGAAGTGTGTTGAGTCTGTCGGTGTCCATTGTTCCAGGTGTTCCATCCTCAGTTATTCCGTGTGCTTTTCTTTTCTGGATCCCCCCCCCCCCCCCTCATCACCCAGGACCCCATGGGGGGTTATTTGATTGCATTCATATCCAGACAAAATTTTGTTTGTCTAGAACTAGAAGACATTGCGTGTCTTGATTTGGCCCTGGCTCTCCTTTTCTCGCCCAGAGCGAAGGGTTGTTGTACATAGAGAACACATTGCTGGATCGTGTACAGTACAGGACTTAATAAATTAACAACTCGAGTTGTTTCGAGAGTTCGTTCCCTCCTGAATAGAAGTGGCAGTTTGTCGGCTGTCTGCTGATTCGTCCGTGCTGCGTCCTGTTTACGCATGACGCAGCGATCACTGATGTGCGTGTGTGCTGTTTTGTCTGGCTGGTGCGTGTGTGCAAGCAAGAAAGGGGTGATTTTCTTGTATAGAGGAACGGTTGGGGGCGAGTGTGTGAACGTGGTTGGTGTGTGATGTCTAGGACAGAGAAAAGAAAGGCAGAGTGGTGTGGTGGGTGGGTGTGAGGTGCTGTCTCAAAAGGTGACGTGTTTCTGAAAATGTAACTGAACTCAGGGTATGATGTCGGATTTCAGTTTTGAGTTTTACGGCCGGTGTATTTTTTCAGTACAGTAAAATTGTTGAAAGTGATACGACTTCGAGTTGCGAAGTGGTGTGGAGGGAATCTATATTAATAAAACTAGCAACGCAGTTCTCAGGAAAGGAGAAAATGTGCAGAGTTTCATTTTCAGTGACCGTTACCTTTCTTGGGCGTGCTTGTACTTGTATGATAGAGAGAGCCTTAGTTGTAAGAGTTACAGTGTGTAGTTGTAAGACGGGTTTCTACACGTGTGTGTGTGTGAGCGTTATGGTATGCTCTTGTCACCAGTGTGTGTGTGTGTGTAGCATGAGTCAAGTGTGTTTGGGTGGATGGCAGCTCAGTATGTTAAGCACATGGTGGTAGGTTTGATCCCCCTTTGTGCCTGGGTACTAGAAAAGTCTGTGGTGAACATGTGCACAGTTGAGGAGACCTTGACTTGTTCATTTTGGTGGAATTTTTTTCTTTTGAATAGTAAAAGTAAAGCAGTGGGTGGTTGGCGCGTTCCAGTAACGTAACATGTCTGGCAACAACGCAGGGGACACAGATTCGAATCATTCAACTGAGCATTCGTGAGTGTTGGCTGGTTTCAAGACTTTCTGTACTGTCTTTTCCGGGTTCCGTCAGAGACTGACGTTTCATTCAAACATCCCACCTCTTCTTGAATTGTCTGACAGTGACTGTGTTTGGGATGGCTCAGAAACCGTTCAGTACCTGCCGTCTGATTTGTGATCCTCCTTTTCTTCAAGGCTTCAGGCTCTCCATCCATCGGTGCCCGCAGTGTAGTGGTTTGGCTCTTTTTTGAAAGTCTTTTCTGTCGCATGGTGAAGGTTTGAGTTGTACTCCAGAGTTGATTTTATTATGATGACCTTATGCAGTTGCGAGCGCTGTAAAACCTTACTAAAACAAACATACAAACAAGAGTTGATTTTATCGAGAATCCAAGTCTTTCTTCAGGAAGTCCTGTTTCCCCTCTCCGCCCAGGTTGGCCATGAAGACAGGTCAGATCAGCCCTCCCCCTAAATAACGCTAAATTCTGACCAGAATTCACAACCAATCAGTCCTTGACCATTTTTCTTTCCCATGTTTTTTTTTATCACCTCATTTGGCTTCCTTGTCTTGTTGTTTTGGTTTTTTTAGTTTAGTTTTAGTAGAGGTTTTACGGCGCTCGCAACTGCATAATGTCATATATGAGCGCCAGAAGATTAGAGTAGAGGTGTTACAAGAGAGTAACAAACATGAAAAAGAAGAAGGGGAGATAAAGAAGATAGATGTTTGATAGGAAAGAAGAAGCAAACCACACCAGAGCACCCGCCAACCACCGACCTTCTTCTCCAGTTTGTTCACCACATGAACAGTAAGGGCCCGCTTAATCTGAACACAACAGTGTAAAACTTCTATTTGACTTTGAGTATCCTCTCTAAACAGAAAACCGGCTAACCCGAAGAAAATTCAGTTGCCCCACAGATTTCGGTTAGGCTGACTGCACTGTGTATTTTTTTATTTATTCTCATTGTTCGAAGGTATATCCCACTGAATCTGTTGTCTGTTCACAAATACATGCCCAACTTTGAACAGCAATATAATGGCAATATCATGGGAATCATTTGGTGGAATTTGTTGAAATCTTGCATGACATTTTAATTTCATCGGCCTAAAAAAGATGTTTTACAATTGAATGTGTGTATAAAATATTGCTTCTTTTTATTTCTATTATTAAAACAGTGGTGAAATATTTGTGAGCCACAATATTGAAAGTTTCAGCTACAGTCATGTCTTGGGCACACTGGGGAAAGCGTGTGCCGGTATTCAGGAGTTGCACACGTTGAAGTAGACTCACTGTTGATTCCTGTGTGAACTCTCACTAATGATACACTCTTCTATTCCATGAAATTCATGTGTTTTTGGCTATCAAAAAAAACCCTTTGCGTTAACATCAATTTAAAAATCATTATCAGATGGTCATTAAGACTAAGTGTACAGTTATTAAATCTATGCGAACTAAATTCCATTAAGATTAGATTTATCAAGAAATTACGAAAATATCTCCTTCAATTCAAAGTCAGGCGTGTAATTGTGAACAGACTACAGAAGCGTTGAACAGGGTTTTTTCTCTCTTCATCAAAGCACAGCGTGCTACCATCATGGTACATGATAGAGGGCTTACTGCATGGGCAAAAATAAATCTTGACCCTCGTCGTTCGTGAACTCGCTGAGCCTTGCATTACATGGCCAGTATGGAATCGATCGGGGTACCGCAATCTCTTCGTGATGATGCGGCTTTCGCGCATGTCATGATGAGCCGGTGACCTAAATATGGCTCCTGCTTGAGAGTGGACACCCCCAGATGTGTTTATGGCTCGAGTTGGTTCCGAATAGAGGGCTAAAGTTTATTTTTACACGTACATGCAATACATTTATATATATATATAATACAAGTACAAGTAAAGTGACCTCAAGTTATTCTCTACAGCAGTAAAGTAAATCATTTGTTGATGACTTAGTAGATGATGTTTGTGCACTGTTGCTGCGCTGGAAGGATTGTATGTTACACAGTATGTATGTATGTTTGTATGTATGTTCACGTGTGAGAGGCAGAGAGTGTTGTTAGAATAGAAGGTTTGAACAGACGGCAGGATCATTTCTTTTGTACATCCGTGCGGGGGCGCATTGCCCCCCCCCTTTCTTGTAACCTGTGCAGGTTGAAGCTTTTGTATGTATTTTTAATCTCTGTTTTAATCGTCAGTCCATCTCATCGCTTTCTTCACATCTGACCAGTTCTGTAAAAAAAAAAAAACTCTCTGGTCTTAATTCCAATACTTTTCATCATGTCTCCTCATGTATTTATGATGCAAAAATAGTTCTTGGAAATAAAATGTTTTTGGTTGCAGTTTCGTTTTCTGTTTTGTTTCTGCTTTCATCATCATCATCATCCAGTGCCAGATTTGCGACAGACATCGGCGATCATGGTTCTGCATTCGTTCCTTTGCTCGGATGCTCTCAGAAAAGCTTTGTTTAGGTTCCCTAGGTGCGATGTTCTGGGCCTTCCCCTGCCTCTTTTGCCTTCAATTTTGCCAGTGAGAGCTGGTGCCCTGGCGTGGTCGGCTCTTTCTCTCCTGTCAAACAACTATCATCCTTTTATCTCTCCTCCTCTTTTTAAAATATTTGTTACTCTCTTGTAACACTAAATTTTCGGC